AGTGTGTGTGTGTGTGAGAGAGAGAGAGAGAGAGAGAGAGAGAGAGAGAGGGAAGGGAAGGGAAGGGAAGGGAAGGGCCGGCGGTGGAACTGGGGCAGAGCATTGAGAGAAGTGGGGATACTGGTTTTGTTATATATTGCAAATGGAGATGGCGGCGTGACAGTTCTGTTTGAGAGGCAGTTGTTTGTCGGCTCGTTCTCTTTTCAGAATTTAGAAGAACAACGGTCGACCGTCTGTTTGGTGGTTGGCGTTCTGTTTGCTTTCTTTTTCGTTTTGACGTCGTTCTCGGAGTGATGACTGAAGAAATGAATAACAATGATTAGGCGTTGTTCGCTCTCGTTCGCAAGAGCGGCGGTGCTGCTGTTCACCCACTCTCTCTCACTACGCTCTGTGTGTACGCTCTCTGTTCTTGCACTCTGTTCTCCCTGTCTGAGTGCGACCGCTTTTTTTCCTCTTCCAGTACCAGTGTGTAGCAAGGGAGCAAGTGTTTTGTTCTTTCTGTCCCCGTCTCGTTAGCGGTTCTTTGAAAGTTGACGAGTATATCTACACTACGGACGATGGGAGTGGAACCGAAAACTGGATTTCCTCGTTTTATCGTTTCGTCGATTGTTTCATGGATGATGCTTCTGCGAGGTCTTCGCTTCCTCTCTCTCTCTCTCTCTCTCGCTCCCTCTTCTTCTTTTTCTTCTCTTTTGAGCATTTTTTCCCCCTTCCGGAAAACGATAATTAACCATTATTAAGGCTGTCATCAATCGATCAGCGTCATCTTTTCCATCATGTCAATCGCATCATTAGAGCAGATGCATTGTGCGATATTTGGAACATGAGGCCTTCCTCTCTCTCTCTCTCTCTCTCTCTCTCTCTTGACCTTGTGCAGCTCGGCCCTCTGCTTCGCCTGAAAGGAATGGCGATTGCGCAGAAGTTTCGTCGAGAGCTTGAGGAGGGGAGCTGACCACAATCCATCCGTCCATTCTTCTCTCGTCTTACGAGGGATGAATTATGTACCTCATTCTTTTCCCCCATTCTCTTTGCCCCATTCTCCTTTCTTACGTCGTCGTGTTGTAGACCTTTCTTCCATCTGGGCGGAGATTTTGCCCATTCTCTCTTCTTACGTCGTCGTGTTCTAGACCTTTCTTTCATCTGGGCGGAGATCTTGAATTGAGCCATGTGTCAGAGGACTGAGGCAACCAGCCAATCAGCAGCACTTCACGGGGTTGAGCGGGCACGGGGTTGAGCGGGGGAAGTCGGTGGAAAATGGAAATGGAACCGGCGGCTATACCAAGCGGCAGCGGCAGCGGGGAGGGGGGGGAGGAGGAGGGGGAGAAAGGGGGGAGTGGCGAAGGAGGGGCTTGTGAACGTACCTGGTCAGCAGCTTCTTTCTGGTAGCGTTGTAGACGGAAGGGGACGTGTGTGCACGACTCCGGCTGGGAATGAGATTTACTTTGCTTCGCTGTTGGTGTTTTTTTCCTGCGTCGTGAGCATCTTTTTGAATTCAAATTTGAAAATCACTCGTGGAAGATTATCAATCTTGATTAATCTAATCTTGATTAATCTAATCTTGATTAATCTAATCTTGATTAATCTTGTGAGTGGTTGACCTGGAAAGACCAGAGTTATGAATCACGGGTCAGTCTTCTTTTAGCCAGTTATGATCAAATTTTTATGGCCTATTTCGCGCGTGATGTCACATGGCAGCTGTGCATCACGTGAGGACGTCCACTGCGGCGTGAGAATGAGAGCGAGAGAGAGTAGGTGAGGGCGGGGCGCAGTGGGCGCATTGCAAGGAGCTGAGCTTTTCGGTAGTGCTCCACTCGTGTATAATGGTTGTGGTTGCTGAAGGAGGGATGGGGAGGGGTGGGGGAGGAGGTGGATTGGTTGGGGGGAACAAGGAGGGGGGATCGGGGGGGGGAAGGGGGGATCAGGGGGGAGGGGTCGGAAGGAATCGGGGTTGTTGTTGATACCCATCGTGAGCGGGAATGGTGGAGATGGGGGACGGAGGAGGATAGGATATATATGCCTTTCTCTGTGCTTTGTTCTCTCGATCAGTCTTCTTTTTTCTATCTGTCTTGTTCATCCTGAACGATGACCAGTGACTTGTTCATAAGTTTGGGCGATGGCGGCGGCGATGGCAGCAGCAGCAGCAGCAGCGGTCCTACATAGCGCCAGAGAGAAAAGGATGGCCAAGGGAGTTTCTTGCTGATTTTCTTGTCAGGTAGCAATGGTGGCAGAAGGTGAAAATCAGCCCTACGCTGGGGGGAGGAGTGACCCAGCACTGCGCCTCGTTGCCTTCGGAGTACTCATACTCCGATCGATCGAAGTACAACTTCCACGGGGGTGATTTTGGGTCTTCGTTTTTTTTTTTTTTTTTTTTTTTTTT